GAACTGACAATGGTTCCCACCACTACTGAGCAGAGAAACATATCCAGATCACTTGAGCGCTTCCCATACATTTCTCTACCTTTCCAACAGAATTCACTGTAAAAATCAACACTTCAGTAATTCCCAGCACCATTATATATGTGGATGCAGATCTTTCATAAAGTACATAGTCAAATTCAATGAAGCTGATTTCTATTCAAAAACAGAGAAAGCAGGGTGTTTATACCAGGCTGCCCATATCAGAGAGGCATTAATCAGTATTTTTCTGCCTTTGTCTAGTTCAAACTGAAAAACAGTGGGCCCTCAGCAAATTACTGTCTCTGAGGAATGGACATCCAAGGGGAAATGGGACACAAATCCAGGAAAATGAGCATCATGCACTGGGCTTATAGGAGAGCATTACAGGAACACAGAGATTCAGTATCTGTGAGATTCATCCTGGATCCCTTGACTTAGATTTTCTTATGTATAAGATGCTCTGTTTAAGCACTGTCTAATCATATAGCATGAACAGGATGGGTAATTATCTCTCAATATCTTGCACCAACACTATGAATTCACCAAGTTCTCTGCACGGCTGGGGAAGTCTTCCTCCTTGTTGGTCTAGTATATCCTTCTGATGTTTCACAGCTCACCTCCAACCTGACCTCCTCTCTTGAGGCCACCATCTTCTCAACTCCAAGATGTACCTGAGCTCGCCTCTCTCCTATCCATTGTACATCCCTGGTATGGCCCTCAATCCCAGGGAAGGTTGAAGGGGTAGGTAAAGGCACTGGTCCAACAAACCCTGTCCACATCTCAGATCTCTCACTCTCACCCTGTTGACCTTTCCCTAAGTTTTTAGGCTCTACCCATGCAGAAGAGAAGTTGTCACACAAGGCTGGGATTCCTTTCCTGAAAACCCTGGAGTCACCCATTTTCTAATATTTTAAATTCAGTTTTTTTTTCTTTTTCAGAAGGCTGTTTCAATAAAAACACTGCTTATGTAAAACACTCAGCAGAATCTGTGATAACACCCTAAAATCAAACACATAAATAATCCCACAGCAAAATATATGAATATTCACAGTAACTGAGATAAAGCAAGTTATAAATAGCTGCACATCGTTTCAGGTCAAACCTTGTTTCCAAATGAAATTCAGTACCAAGTTTAAAAAAAAACAAAACTGATTCTCAGAGCTTTGTGAAATTTATAATTATTGAGAAGCAATAGGGAACCAATCCCAGCCAACCTCATTGCAGTTATTATGGACATCCGTGAGATGGAATTGCTCAGTGATCAGGGCAGTGTCTAACCCGGGCTAATATTCAATACTTGCTAACTATCATTTCCTGTATTTCTTATAGTATTATGATTTGTGGTTTATCTCCTCTTTCTTCACAAGGCTATGGAGCCAGAGGTCAGTGGCTCTGACTTTTCTTTCTGTTATCGGGGTGCTGGAAAGGGAAGGTGCAGTGAAGAGAGCACTGCATGCGCCAACCACCAAGGAAGTGGATGCGGCTCTGTTCACATTTCCCTCCATCCAGGAAGATTATCTTCTGACTCATTATTCATAACACCTAGAAGAGACGAACCTTGTTCAGCAGGAAGAATAATTTAGCTCTGTGAGGAGGCAGATCTCAAGACTGAGATGTATAGGTCCGAATTTGCAGCACAGAGCCAAGTGCTCCATAGAAAGAAGCACTCATTACACCAATAAATCAATTATAAAGTCATTGTCATGATTCTATCACCTGGCGTTGTGTGACCATGGTACATGATTAAGACAGGTTCTGCTGGCAGAATCTGGACACAAAAATGATTTTGACAAGTGACTTGACCTCTTTTGTTCACAGGTCAGGCAATTCACAGATCACTCAAGATATCACTGGAAATTTAGAAGAGGAACATGTATCTCTTCTTCTCAGCCACAGATACAAAAAAGATGGAGATCGGTGTCAAGGGGGAAGGATCAACGTCTAAACAGTGTGCTTGGTAACACTGCTCTTTTCTTTCTGGATTCTTATTAACCACAAAACAGTCCAAAGTGGTTCAGCTCAACCCTCTATATTCATCTATAATCCTCTATAAGCCTAGAAGACAAGACTATTTGCATGGATGGATAGATAGATAGATAGATAGATAGATAGATAGATAGATAGATAGATACATAGATAGTAAATTTAGATCCTTAGTAATGAGTTCATTTAGACAAAAGTTAGTAGTTCAGCTGATCTAATATGACAATGATTCCAATTTTTGTGCAGGATGGAAAGCAGGGTCCGTGTCAGTTCTGGACGCCCTAGAGGAAGCTGCTATCTTAGTAACCTTCCAGAACTATTAGCAGACACTCTCACGGGTCGTCTTCGTGAGAGTGAGTGGTTACTCTCCTAAAACATGGTAAAACATCCCTGGTACCACATGCCATGCTGGCCATGGAACTTGATTCCAAGCATGGTGAGAGCACGCCTGTAATCTCAGCACTGGGGAGGCTGAGACAGGAGGATCACTCTGAGTTCAAGCTGCCTAGCAAGACCCTGTACCAAATAAATAAATAAATAAATGATTAGAATACAACACTTTTTAAAAAGCAGGAAAAAAAAAACTGATGCATAAATTATTTTTTACCTCACTGAGCCGACTAAACCCGGGCAACGTTTGTCTAAATTTCAGAAGTGCCTCTTGAGAGTATTACGAAGCGCCACCACCTCAGCCATGATCATCGGCTGTTGAGTTTAGAAAGCCTTAACATCCTCCTCAGCAGCTCCTCCACGGGCCTGTAGCTGCCTCACCTCCACACCTCCAGATACAGGGACATTCCTACCAAGGACTACCAAGGAACACGCACTGTTTGTTTTGCATAATAGTATTGACTTCCTGATGGGATTATTTAGATGCTAATGGCACCTTAATTCCCTATGGGAAGGGCTTTGCACCTCGAGCTGGGAAAAACCAACAAGGTCGAGGCTGTGGTTAGCAAGCTGGCACGTTCAGCTGGGAGATAGGACAAGCAGCTGATGGGAGTGGGACTGCTGGGCTTTTCTCTCTCCAGGCCCCTCCTCTTCTTCGTGTGAATAGGACCACAGTGGGGTTAATTTTTGTTTCCAGATGCCGAAGTATAAATAACACGGGCTCTATGAGCAAACCAGAATAAAAACTCGCGTCTGTGCACAGCCTTCCCTGCATTCCACTGTGTATGAAAGGGAGAAGATGAAGCGTCTGCAGTAGCTCACCACTGGGCGCCTCAGTAAAATGCTTCCCTGACTGATGGGTCGCAACTTTCTGGAGGCATCACTTGTGAAAACAAAGTAGGGTCAAGCTGAGGTTTGCAAGTGAAATCATGTGTTCTGTCCACAAAGTAACAAGACATGTTTCTGGAATGCTCTGCAAAGGGAGCAGAAATAGGGCCTCCCCAATTTCTCAGCTGGCCCCTGCTTCTTCCCATCTATCACTGGGGTAATACGTCCAGAGTGGCATTTCGTAATGACAGCAACATTCCAGCAAATCGATAGTTATTTAATTCCCAACAAGCTCTTGAGTCCATTAAACCTGATTACATTCACCCATTTCAGTGGGTGCCGTTATTTTTCCTACAACGGCACTTAATCTATAACAGGAACTTATGAGAACTTTCAAAAGCAATTTCAGCATCAATCAGCATAGAGTGAAGGGCGCGATTTGCTTGTAATTATTTATTGGATGGGGTGGCCGAGGGTCTGACAAAACTGCAGCCACTGACCTTCACCCCAAATTTCCAATAGAAGCAAAAAGCCTGTTACTCCCCACATGAGCAACGAGTCCCATCTCAGAAACAGCGGTCTTGCCACACCAGCCTGCCTAGGCCAGGAGAGACAGAATGGTTTCCTTGTAGTGAAGACTCATCCTCCAGGTAGGCTGCCTATTTATAACACAGAATAGAGAGAAAACCCTCCAAACCTAGCAGCACCCATACTTGGGATATAAGGCTGGTTGTTATTTCAAATCACACCTCTATGGCTCTAATCACCCAGGTTCTTTCCATAAACAAAAGGTAACAGCTATACTCAGAAAAGGAGACAGTGTTTGACCAGAAGCTTCCCAAGAAACTTCATTCTTGAGCTCATTGTAGAGCTTTTAACCATGGGATCTGGGACCAGGACGTTGAAGAGTCAAAGTGAAAGGCCCAGGTAAATACTTTTCCTTTGCCATAGAAAGGAGATGCAGAATCTATTACAAAAAGACAAACCAACAGCCAAGTGCCACCTGGCTTCCTGTAGTGAGGGGCTCCATCTCTAGGAAAGTTTAACATTCTGTAGACTCAGACTACATCAGATAAAACTGTATCTATGGCAGAGAGGCCAACTTATGCAAAGAAAGGAAAAATGTCCACAGTGCTCATTGCTAAGTGAACCTCTCTGCTTAGAATTAAGAGCCTTAACCAACACACATCTCAGCCCTCCATTCTCATATTGTCATCAAAATGTAAACAGCCTGGCTGGGCTTCTTAGACAAACCTCTGAACTTCATAAATATAGAGTGTTCCTTCCTGCCTCAGAGCCACAACTGAGATTCAGGTAGGGGGAACCTTCTCTGAAAATACAACCCAAGCGGGGGTGTCTTATGAATTACCACATATTTCCTGCTGCTGCTGTTTCCTGGGTTAAAGCTCCTAACTGCGTCATCTCATGTTAAGTTACTTTACCTCATGATCTGCTCTGCAAGACTGAGTCCCTCAGAAACCCGGGAAGGAGAGCAAATCTTTTGCCCCATGGCCAACCTCCTGAAGGAAAGGCATGAATGTTAAGCAGAAGCCAGATCAATACAAGCAAATATAGCTCAAGTACACCATTTATTCAGCCATGAGAGATGTCAATAGCCAGATTAGGGTGATCCATCTTTTTGATTTCCTACTGTCTTCTCTCTGACTACACGAGGGCTTTTTCCTGTATTAAAAGTGTTTGCTTTCTCAACCATAAAAATTCCAATTATTACTCTGTGCGCTCTGGAGTTAAGTTGCTTGCTGGCAAAGGCCTTGAATTACCTGAATCAGCCCAGGGAAGAACGGGGCTGCCGGAACAATCATAGGCACGCCATAGGACTGCAGGAGGACTCCTTGGGACGCCAGCATGTTTTAACTGGAGGTATGATTCCCTCTGAGGCTCAACACATCAATGGAGACTTGGGGGAAAATTCTATACACCCAACTTCTTCCGAACTACAAAGCCGAGAGCCAAATCGCTTCTGTCAGGAGCCAAGAGCCCATCAACGCCGAGAGGGGAAAGAAAGAAAATCCGCATCAGCAACTCTGAATGTGAAAGTTTTCTTCCCAGACAACGAAGAGAAGCGGCAGCTGCAAAGTTGAAGCTACCAAAATGGAAGGTGCTATTTTGGGAGCAGCTTGCCTAACATGACTAACCAAATACTCTTCATTAATTTAGTTCTCAGAGAGAGCAAGAGACAGACGGAGGGACAGAGGGGCGCAGGCTCTGAGGTAATGAAGTTGCCCCAATGGATTTGGCCAAAAGACCAGAGATAAAGTCCACAGGGGATTTTTGAAGAGAATAACTGTGAAATAGAAACTTACATGATTATAAGTGCCTGTATAAAACTCAAACTAAGTAGGTTAACATGGGCAGCTCTGGGTGCTGATTAAAAATAAACTAAGAAGTTATTCAGCCTGCTTTTCTGTCTCCGTCTCTCTGTCTCTCTCTGTCTTTCTCTCTCTCCCCCCTCCTTCTCCCCCTCTTCTCTCTCTGATTTCATTTTTATTTATTTACTTATTTATTTATTTTTGCGGTACCAGGGATTGAACTCCGGACCCTGTGCTTGCCAGGCAAGCACTTATTCTAATGAGCTATCTCCCCTGGCCCCTCTGATTTCAATTTTAAAGAGGTAATTTTAAATAATACAATTCTACTACCAGCCAATATCTGAACAGGCTCTGAAGAGAGAGGGAACAACTTCGTTACCAGTGTTACGTTCCTTTGCTCTCACAGCTCCCTGGAGTAGGCACTCTTAGGTCGAGTAATCAAACAGAAACTGGGATTACGGCACAGGAGCATCTTTGCTTCTGATTGTGCAGCTTGCAAAAGGCAGCACTGAGACCCCAGCACATTTTCTGTTCAATTCCTAACTGTGACACTATGCTCATTACTGCATTCCATTCTGTAATAGGAGCACGTGCTTTTATGTGTCATGTGTATATGCGTCTGTAATTGGAAAGATATTATTTATTTTGAAATTTCAACCGGTAGGTATTAATATGCAATATATTAACGAGTGATGTCTCCCTGTTCTCAGAGATCAAAGGTGCATGTAATGTATGCTCATAACTACGGGTGAGAAATACTGACAGTCAAATACTTCACATCTTTCCGGTGATTGCAAATACCCCAGTGATTGTTTGGGAGGTGTTCTCTGGAGGTCCATAAATTCCCGTGGGGATGCCTTGAATTGCAAGAATGTTGAGTGGGGAGCATACTAGCTGTGTGATCTCAAACAAGTTCCTTCACCTCTCTGAACTTTAGCTTCCTTATTAGGTGAACAGTAACAGTCTCAACTTATATGTTGAATACATAAAGCCCTTGTAAGCACACCAAAGTATATTATGGGAGAAGGGCTACAAGAAATTCTCATTGTCTAAACCCTGTTCTTCTGCAAATGTGTCCACTGGACATATTTTTGACTGATACTGCCAGCTCAGACATCACTGAAGTGTCTGAATATTTACTCCGGAAACACATATGATGACATTTAGAGCTCCACAGTTTTGAGAGTGGTATGAAAACTGGATGAAGTGAAATCGTGTAAGTACCACCCCAGCCACAAGGTCCACTGGGAATCACCTTCAAATCCAACATCCGCTTGTCACCTTCCACCTCCCTCTCAGAATACGACCCACAGTATAGATTTTGTGAAACCTGGGAGAGCTTCGGATCCCGCCAAGCATATTCAACTATTGGCTTTTTCTAAATCCAAATGTCAATCCCTCCACTTTTAGATAGCCAAGGTGTTTTTACACTACACTAATTTTAGTTGCTTGATTTAGCTGCATAATTACATTTCTAGATAACGACAGCGGACAGGGTTTGGCAGAGAATTCAATTATTTAAGACTGAATTTTGGCCAGCTTGACAAGGTTCCTCTGTAATTGATTCTCATGCATCGGAGTGGCCACGTTGTACAATTCAGAAATCTCCCCTAGCAGCTGTAGACTGACCCTCTTTCCCAACAGCCAGCGCGACTTCTAACTTTAGCTTTGGACTGTGACTTTCAACACCACACTTCTGAGAACTTACCAGCAAGGACAGAACAGAAGCTCACTAGGAGACGGGTACATTCTGCAGTGAAAGTCCCTTTGGAAAGCAGGGGTAGAGAGTGTGCTTAAGGAGGTAAGGCCCGGGGCAAGTAAGCTATTGCTATTTATTTAAGTGCAGTACTATGGATTGAACCCAGGTCCTTCTTACTGAACGACATCCCAAACTCATTTTTTAATTTTTTTTTTTTTAATTTTGAGACAGAGCCCTACTGAGTTGCTAAATTGCCCAGGCTGGGCTTGAACTTGTGATCTTCCTTCCTCAGTCTCCCAGAGTGCTGGGATTACAGTCATGTTCCACCAGACTCAATCTGAACAGTTATGAAATTGGAAGACCACTGAGCCAACAGACAGGAAACTTACTTCAATTACATAAGCTAGAAATGTACACATTTAGACTCTAGAATTCCTCAGGACTAGACACAAGTAAGACTCTCCACTTACTCTACACCCAGAAAGGTCAAAAATGAAATATATGAGAGAAATCAGAATTACATAAACAAAGGCAATTATGCATCGTGAATATGAGTGATTTTAGTGAGACTGAAATGAGAAATAGAGTACATGCGGGACATAGAGACATGTAGCTATAGCGTGTGCAGACGGTAATTTCTCTTTTTTAAAGAAATCTTATATACTAAAGCTTCTGCTACTCCAGAAGTATAAGTATCTCCCTTGTCTGCTCTGTAGCCAAGAGTTTTTTTTTGGGGGGGTTTTTTTTCCTTCTACCAGGAAGCACAGGTCAGATAGACGCTTCAACTCTGTCCACCGTGCTGTCCCTCGCTGCCTGCATGCTCCTGTCTTTGTTTCCCTGTCCCTGCCATCTCCAGTTCCTGACCACTGTTGCTCATATTCCTGCTTTTAAGATTCTACTTCAGTTTTATTTTCCCACACAATTGTGGTATTTGTACTTTGAAACTGTGTTGGATGTATCCTTCTTCTAAAATCACCCCAAATGAGAAAGTATATCAATGAAAAGCACCACTAACTAAAGCCTCTCCCTCCTAACTGAGAGGCATTGTGTGCCTGGGCTGGGAGGCCGTCTTCATGGATCCTACACCAGAAGGGCTTTGTTCCCTAACTCAGAGCATCTCCACTCGCCAGCAGCTGGGACACATGGCTCGGATGAGTGCCTTCCCGCCCAGCACGTGACGTTCAGCTTGTCCTATTCGCACTGGCTTCAAATAATAAAAATGTGGAGTGAAACAATAACTTGAAAGGAGAAGACAAGCAATTCTCGTAGTTACAGCAAACAGAGGTGACATCCCAAACATATTGAAGCCCTAAGAATGGCCACGCTGGGTTAGCTATTTGGCCACCATGGACAGAGGATGGCGACTTTTCTTTTGGAAAATCTAAACAACACATATTTTTGCTATTGCAGATCCTACACTGTCTGTTGCAGCTATTCAATGCTCTGCTATTGCAGCATGGGAAAACATCCACTGCCAACAGGTAAGTCGTGAGTGTAAATGAGTGGTTCAATAATATCTTATTGATGGAAACCAAAGCTTACATTTCCTAGTATTTTTACAGGAGGTTGAGTACTATTTTCCTTCTAATATATTTCAACCACTTAAAAGTACAAATTCATTCTTTTCCCAAGGATGGTACGGAAGTGGGCAACAGCCAGGGCTTGATCATAGCCTGAGCCTTGCTAACCCCCTAGTCTAGAAGTCAGACTTCCATGCCTGGCAAATGCACCGAGACCTTTCTCTTCTCTTCTGCTTCCTTGCTCACGTCACATCTTTCCTGTGGCTCCTCCGGTGCCAGCTCTGCAGTTCTGTGCCAGCTTCCCCAAGCCAGGGCTTTCCAACAAGGATTGTCATTTTGATGTTTTTTTCCAGCCTACAATAATGGTTCAGTTCTATCCTGCCCCTCTAAAGGTTCCCCACCTTTCTCCACCTTTGACATCCATACAGTCCTCTTACAGTGTGTGCTTTCTGGCTGTCAGATACTGCATCTCCTGCCCTACACCTTAGGAACTAGCATAAGGATTATTGTGTACACGCCCACCCTTTGTGAATGACAGCTGCCTAAAGTTTAGGCATCTGGGTAAGATCTGCCCCCCAAAAGAGGGAAGAAATCGAAGTGTAAGTTGGAGCACAAGAAAGAAGGAGAATGCAGGGAAGATGATTCCTACTGCTGGTTCCACCAGCCCACAGACCCAATTGCAGCCTGGAGACCAGATCCAGGCCATAGAGGGGACCAGAAGGACTCATCTTCACAGTGAAAACATGGGTTGGCACTTAGAAATGAGAGCATTTCTGTGGAAATTTAGATTTACAGTGTGTCTTGAGAGGCCAGAAGATCTGGCAGCCACAGTTCAGCGGACCAGCACTGCCACAGCTCAGGGGCTCTGATAGAACCATATCCACTACCTTTTGCCTGTTTTCTGCAAAATCCTGAGTGTCACTGCTATGAATGGACCATGAAAGCAAAGCACAGGTCTTAAAACAGAGTCACTTGCTGATCTTATTGTTAAAAATGTTTAATATGAATTTCATTTCTTTCATTTTCAGTATTTATCTTAGTATACCGACCTGTTGATCATTTCACGACACACATCGCCCTGTTTTTAGGCAAGTGGGAAAAAGGATTTCCTATAGCATCTGAGGCCTTTCACAATATTCTTCACTTTTACTTGGCCTAATTCACTCTCCTGTGGATGCTGTCCTTCCCTCTATGAAATACTCTTTTGTTCAAACCACACTGCTAAGTCCCCTTTGCCAAACGCTTCTATGAATTCAAGTTTCTGTTCAAATTTGCTTGCTATGCAAAATTGCCCCTCTTTCCTTACTTTTTCCCGCAAGTCCCACTTTGCTGGCCTAAGTCAGAGCTCATGCCTTCTGCACAGACTTAGGTAGGACTAACCCCCCCATGCCTTCTGCCAAGGAGTCCTTTTAGATTTGTGCTTAACTCCCAGTGGGATAACAGCGCATCTTGAACCTTTTCACACATGATGACACTTTCAAGAAGGCAGACTGGCTCTAATGAAGAAGCGTGGCACGCATACTGCTGCACCTAGTGGCTACAGGGGCAACTAGACAAGTGAAATTCT